GGTTAATTTTTCCTAAATCCTAACTCTTCCCTTTTTCTCTGACTTTAGCATCAGGAATCCTATGTGTACCCTAGATATTCCTTGCATTAAAGCAATTCCCAGCTTTAGCTCTTCTTTCTTTTTAATCCATACAATTTGTTACCAATGCCAAATTCATCCTCCATATTACTTCTTAAACTTTGCTTCCCATTTGTTTAAACTGGTTCAGTGATCCTAATCCATTTAGCATTTGTCTTGAATTGTAATGCTCAAGCTTCATACTCTTAAGACCTTCAGGGAAAGAGGGCATGTTTGGCCTACTGTCATTTACCAATGAAGATATCTAAAAATTTATGCAACACAAAGACAAAAATTAATGTGAAAAGAAGAATATTGTAGTACTGAGACAAGATTAAGAAGTATGGCAAATCTGTATGAGAATTAAAATATCCATTACCAATTCTATTACAAAGGAAGGATTAAAATTTTACATTCTGGGAACAGGAGGACCTCCAAACAAAATATTCAGTAGGCAGGGTACACAACAGCATGAGAGAGGAAAACATTATGTGCCCAGATACACTGCCAGAAACTTCTATTTAAGCTCATTTACACTGTACAACATTCCTTCCACGATGATGGCATTATGATATCTTACAGTCCGAATTTTATTGACATCTAATTATGATACTAACACTTAAAACTTAACGTGATAAACTATATAAATATATAAACTGACCACAAAATAAGCTCCTTTTTGCTTTCTGTGAACATTAATTTCAAGGCCTTCTTTCAGAACCTGTGCTTAGTTTAATATTATAGACATGTTTTTCATATTTTTCATTACAATTGCTAAATAAATTCTAAAAAGTTATATGGGGAACCTGTTTATAAACCCCACTATCAACCATGGAAAGACAAATAAACAGATAAATTTGAGGGTTCTGTATAAGTGAACTTTGTAAGGTCAGTTTTATGAACTGAAAGGTCCTGAAGGAAAAAGTCATCAAAGTTGATTCTGTCTTTTGGACTAAAACCAAGGAGATTAACTTATCTTTGTATTTAAGAACTAGCCTCTAAGGTTGGCAGAATATTCACTGATGTCACCAAAAGCCAGTGTAACATAATGACATTAGATTGTGTGTTTACAGTAGATATTACCACTGAAGCATAACACAATGCATCCTGACATAATTCAGTTTGTAAAACCGAAACTCACTCAGTAGCCCCATAAAGTAATGACAAACAATATAATACTTTTGAGTAATACAAGAGAGGAATATGGACATTCATGCATTCATTCATCCATTCACTATACTGAGCATCTCCACTGCAGTGGATACTACAGGGACATAATGACAAATTAGATATGATCATTTCCTTTGGAAACCAGAATCTAAGGGGAAGACAACAGATGAACACATAGTTAAAATGTGAGCAGTAAGTTAAGAAATAGCAAAAAAGTTGTGCCATGGTGTGTTACAGGACTTTGGAGGAAGGTGATATGCTTGGAGATAGTGTCCAGGAGAGGCTTCATGGAACAGATGGCATTTAACCATCTGGAAGCATGGATAGGACTTCAGCAGAGAAGGGAGAGACTCACATGAAGAGGGAACAGTATGAAAGTGGGATGTCCCAGGCTGGCTTGGGGAATGTGAATAGGCCAGTTTGAGTAGCACTGAGATCATGTGTAAGGGAGTAAAAGACAAAGTTGGATGTGGAGGTGGGAAGGTTATACAGGGCTCTCAAGGTCAGTCTAGCATGGTTATAAAACCACTGAAGGTTTTTCTAGGGTTAAGTGAAATAATCCACTTGTTTCGTTAAGAACTTTGTAGGACAAGTTGGAAGGAAGAGAGATTGAAGGCTGGAATTCCCTTTAGGAGGCTCTTTTAGTGGTCTGGGCATTTGCTTGTGGAGGGGAGGAAATGAACATTTAGTAAGAGTTCATTATGTGTAAGGCATTTATTTGTTTCAGCTATAATATTTCATTTGATTCTTGTGACAATGCTGAAAGGTAAATAACATTAACTCTAGTGTCCAGTTTAGAAACTGAATTTCCAGGTACATGCCCTGAGCCTGGCACTCCAAGCGTTCAAGGAAAAAGCTGTCCGATTGAATTAACCCTGTGATTCATGTACCTTATTTTCTATTCTCAACAGAAGCTCCAAGGAAACAAAATAGTTTGTATAGTTCTAAGACTGCAACCCAGAGAGTTATTTTCACAGATGAGGCTCAACCCCACCTGGGACAAACTGGGCTCCTAGTCAGGGGAATACAAGGATTAGATCAGAAGCTCAGCAGCACGGCAACCTTCTGCCAGTCTTGTTCTGTCATCCATTCCAGGTGACCATTCTAAGTGTTCTTTCTCATCACTGGGATCAAGCTCTCCCTTTCAACTTACATTAGATGCAACTCTGTCATGCTTATGAGGCCAGGATCCCTGTCTTTGAATTCAGCCCACATCTCAGTTCCTATCTCTCCAATAAGATATGAAATATGACAGGACCTCTCTGCTACCAACTCTGCTTATTGAATCCTGCCAGGCTTCTTCATGTACTGATTTGCTTATGTGCCAAGTCCACTGCCTAGGCCCCTGGGACTATCCCAGATCTCCTGGATACTCTAGCTGGTTGGTAGAGGCATGAGACCACAGCTCTCTCTGGTCTAACCTGCTTGATGAAGAGTTTTGACAATAGTCATCACAGTAGTGGTGGTACTAATACTTAAATAGCACTGGCTATGTGCCAGGCATTGTTCTTTGTGTCTTCTACATATTAATTCTCATAATCATCACATTATTAACAGCCTTATTTTATTGGTGAAAAAAAAAGCAAAACAGAAAACCCTGAAGCTGAGTAATTAAGTTACTTGTCTAAGGAGACACCATTTTCAAGTGTCAGAGCCAGAATCTGAACCAGGTATTCTGGCTGTAGCTCATCCTCTTCACCACTAGGCTTTCCTGCCTCTCCAATGGCATGAGAAGATGAAGAATGTGTCACTAGTGAATCTACTTACTACCTTAAATGCCCTCTTTAAGATAACAAGCACAATATTACCATGAGTAGTGAGTTATTAGATTTCTGTTAATAAATGTGCTTATATCCAGCTATAAATCTGAACACAAGGGTCAGTTAGAAAGAAGCCCTTACATGATGGTGGAACTTTGTATGTAAGTATTTTAATTTTGGCTGAAAATACCACAGATATTCTGCATTTGGGCAAGTCTAACAGAGAGCTGGATTCAAAGATATTCTTATTTTATTTAGCAAAAATAATCCAAGAATAGTGGTAGAAAAGGTAATTGTGAATATGATATTGACAGGAAGGGAAACAAATTTGAGGATTTAAAAATTGAAGTAGAGTTGCTAAGAGAGTAGGTCTTAAAGTTCTCATCAAAAGAAAAAAAACCAAAGTAGAGACTGTTGACATCTTGGCAAATTGCATAGCTCTGTGCACTCTAGTTCACTTGGAAAAATAACAGTACATTTCACTGTTCTCAGTTCAGAAGGTGAGTATCTGACTAAATGTATTACAATCAGAAATTAAAACAAGAATTATATGAGTATAATAATACCTATGGTCTTGGACTCCTCTGATTTGTATTAGTACTCTGATTTGTTAAGTATAGGTCATTTAAAAAAATTGGTGAATATCTTTATGTACCAAGGGCTAGAGATAAATAAGTGATAAAGACATACAAGGAACCTATTTTCTAATGGTAGAGAGAAAGACCATAAGCAAGTCAATATATAAATGTATAGAATAATTTTGAATAGAAATAAGAACTATGAAGAAAATAAAATAAGGTAATGTAATACAGAGTAAAGTAGTGGTAATAATATGCTCATTACTAGCTAGGATATAACATTTGAGCTGGTACTCACTTAACAAAGGTAGGAAGCAGAGCCCGAGAAATGACTGAAGAGGTACACACTCAAGGAGAAAAAGGAGACTGGGGTGGCAAGAGCATAGAGAGAAACAGGGAGACAGGTATGAGATCAAGTCAGAGAGAGAAGCAGGCAGGGCACAGCTCAAAGGTCCTTAGATGCCATAGGAAGATATTGGGATCTTGTGGGAGAAGCCACCATCAGGTTTTAAATTAGGGGAGTGATCTGACATGATCCACATTTTTATAAGATCACTTAAGCTGCTGTTTGGCATATACATTACAGGAAGTCAAGAACAGAGTCACAGAGATCAGTTAGAAAGTTAAGGTATTAGGGAACAGAAGACGGTAGCTTGGACTCAAGTTGTACCCATAGAAACAGAGAAGTAGATGGATAGATGGAATACAGACATATCTTAGAAGTAGAACTAATAGGACATGTTGGTAAATTAGACATGGGGAGTTAGGGAAAGAGCAATCAGGAATAATTCCTAAGCTTTGAGAGGATGGTTGTGCGGAATACTAAGTATTTGTTATTAGGTGGAAAATTGAGAGAAAAATAAATTGTATGAGTTCAGATCCACAGAATATTAATAAGTAGAATGACAATATAGTGATATTCACAGTAAACTTTACATTAAACTCAGGAAACTGACAACCAACAAACTCAAAAATCATATAGAATTTTATCACTAGTTAGATGATTTTCCTATCAGCCTACCTCAAGCCCCAAGACCACTTTCAGGTCTGGAAAGAAAATAAAAACTGAGTTATCCACTAGGGCCTTATGTGGACATATATATTTCATAGACTAGTTATAGAAATGCTGAAGAATGTGAGAGCATAGTAAGTACTCAAAAAATGTGTAGTGAACTGAATTGACACCTGTTTGTCTCATTAGAGGCAGAGACCATATGACATAACCTATCTACAACAGAACTGAGTAGAACCATGCACCATGAATATGAATCATATTATTTCTTATTTATTGTGTGTTCATATATAAATATACACATGTGTATATTTTTCTCTGATACTACTGACAGAAAAAGTAAGGTATGCTCCAAACATTTTCCAGTATCTAATCAGGACTTTCCCACTATGTTTTTATTTAAAATGAATAGTCATCACATACCTGCAGCATATCACCAAGGTCTGCTGTGCTAATATCTGGATCCTCTGTGGTGTTGAAGGGCACGGGAGTTATTCGAACAAGAGTGAGCACTCTAGGTTCTGGATATCTCCATAACATCATCCCTGGGTTATCTTCAGTTTCATTGTAAAACAGGACTTCATAGACACCAGGCATTTTCAAAGGTTCTGTTAAATGAAAGTATAATTAATAGTATGTTTTTGAAAGGGAGCATGTTGACTTATAGCAAGAAAATTATGAGGATTAAAGAATATGAAGAAGCTTGGTCATTTTTATATAGTTTGACACATTCTTTTATAGTTTGAATATCTTTTCCCTGAAGAGAGACTGAATGGTTATGCGCTATTTTTGCACTGCAGATACTAATGTACTTTTCAAGTGATCTTGATGTGTTACCATTTAATGAATGTGCAGTTAAAACAAACATACACACACTCATATTGAAGCTGTGGCTACTTACCAGCATCTCGTATATACTGAAATAGACCTGTCCGTAGGTCATCTGAACTTTGTTCACTTTTAAACATCTGATTCTTTTCCACAAGAGATGACATTTGTAGTATTGCTTCAGAAACTTGTGCTTCAAAATTTCCCTGCTCATTAAGGTATCCACTGAGTAACTCATATAGAAGAACTAAACAATTCAAATGTTCTTGACCCCAGAAAACCTTTAAAATCATATGAAAAAATGTCAGTGGATTTTAAATACATACATTTCATGAGAATAGTTAGGTACCATCATATTTCAATTACTGCAAGACTGTAATCATTTTCAATTTAATTACAGACAATAATTACAATTTCTAAGAAGTAACTGACCTATGGGATGAAATTCTATTACTTGAGTAAATATATAAAACAAGAAAAGCAATTACATCATATATTATATGAATAAAAATCTATTTTAAATGCTGAATTAACAATGGAATTATGTGATGTGATGTAATGTTTATGAATTAGCTTAGTAAAGACAGAAAAGAACACCTATTACTGTCTAAGAGAAGGCAATGAAGAGCTAAGCCAAAATGTTCACAAGATAGTAACAACAATTTTGTGGAATAGTTTCCTACATTTTGTCATGTGATTAAATAACACATCTTGATTATAGGGTTCCTTTCTTTGCACTTTTACTCTTCAGAGAAAAAGAGAGGGGATATGTTCAATGAACCTGAACTTAGAAGGTTCCCAACTTCCTTGTTTAGTGAGAATGTGCCAGCACCGTATTCAACAGCCCTTGGGAATCAACTATAGAGGAGCTACAGCAGAATTTCAGAACAAAGGCCTTGGTGTTTCCTCTCAGAGAGAGAATCAAGTCCCCTTTTCTGCATGTGAAGAACATTAGTCCATTTAACAGAAGAATGACCAGTGGGTACGAATGATTGATGTCAGAGGACTCAAAATTCTAATCATGTTAGATTTTTTTCTGAATTATGCTGGGTAAAGGCAAAACAACCATCATTTTTAAGAGAACCAGATAACACAGAGTTTAAACCCTGAGTGTAGATACTGCTTTCTGCAATTAAGGTATCTTAGAAATGAAGGTAAGAGATATTAAATCTGTTTTTCTCTCATCAATATTATTTTCACTGAATTCTGAAAAACAGGTAAAAAGTCAAGCTGGGGAGTTGAACACTGTGCTCTAGTCTTTAAAGTGTCAAGAGACAGTCAGTGACTTTATAATGTAGAGATGATGTACTTTGTTTTTGCTTTTATTATTGTTTTCAATGTGAGATAATTTGCTGCCATGGAGAAGCAGTAATACAATTCATAGTCTTGATAAAACAACACAGAACTGCATGCTTATTGTTAAAATATATGAAGATTTCTTATAGATGCTGAAAATCTCCAAAGCAATAGAAAGGAGTAAGTTATCAGGATGTCCCCACATTTAGCTCTGTGTAAGAAATATGGTAAAAAGGTTGAGGCAGCACAACTTTTAGGTGAACACAAGAAATTCATATATAATATGCCTCCTTAGTCATTTCTGTATTTTATAATTGTGAATTTCTCAAGCTTTTTGGATTCATGTCAAATCTGAAGAGGCCACCAAATCATATAAAGAACACATTCAAATTTACCCAAATGGAGGGTTATCAAGAAATAAGTTGAATACATTCATACCTTTCATACTTTATAAATCAAATGCATAAAAGGTCACCACATCATTACTTAAAACTTAGTGAAACGGTTCAAGAAATGATCAAAGTCCAGTTAAAAACTTATGCAAAAAACGTGGCTAATCCCTACAGACCTGTAGCAGACCTCCTCTTAAATCAATGGATATTTTTGGTACAGACTGTTCCGGGCCTAGACTGCCACTGTGTTTACACCATTTTGCTTCCAGATTGGCAGTAGCACAACATGGTCCCATCAGAATCCGACTTCTTTCTCGGAGATTTGTTTTAAGGAGAAAATCATTTATGCTGAGTAGAAATGATGACCCAAGAATGAAGCCTGAAAAAAAAAAAGAAATGAAGAGGGGCACGTATTACAATTTTTCTTTGTCAAAAAAGTATGTTTGGGCAGGAACTATCTGTATTTTTGAAGAGCATGAATTCATCCTTTGTCAGAGTCTTCTTTGTCAGCTGGCTTTCCCCCAGAGTTTTCTGCCCCTTATATAGAATTCCAGTTATGAAGCAGGTATACCTCATTCACATTCCTAACAAAGCAATATTTGCCAAAACATTATGACTTTTTCCATGTGTGAGCATTTTAAGTTTTATGAGTAGAGACATTTTCATTAAATTGTGCAAGTTTTTCAAACAACTACACTCAGAACACGAACAGCTGCTTCATTTGTCTATTGTTAACATGATGAGAAAGGGCAATTTTCTGTGATTTCTTAACAGTAACAGAGTATAGTATATTACTTTTCTAGAGACTCATGCTTTTGACTGGCCCATGTTAAAATTCAAAACAATCAAAATATGTAACATGTGTTTTCTAAAAATTTTAGTTTAATCCAAACTTCACACATCATAACCACTTGAAGTTCACAAAGTCTTAAAAACAGATAGTGGCAGGTTAGATTTATGAGAAAAACTATATTCTATAGTTCAAAGTAAATATACCCAGAAAAGGAATACACTTTAAGATGTAGGTTTTCTTTTGAACTTAAACTAGAAGTGTAGATCAAAACCTTTTCATAAAACCAATGGCACACTCTAAAATATTTGGATGCAAAGTTAGCAATGGTGGGTTAACTTTCCCCCAAGGAGCTCATATTCTGAATTGTCATTGTGAATACTGAATTTCACCAGAGCACATTTGTAATGCTCCTGGCTTATTTTTCTAATGATATTTGATCCTTAAAAGAGATGAAAGATTAAAAAACACCTTAGGCCCACAGTATATATGTTTCAAAGTACAGTACCCACAGTGACTTTGCAATTCTGTGGAGACTTGAAAACTTCATACATGTTGTATGTTCCTATTGTAGAAATAAGATATACAACTTCTAATCTTCCCACAGAAGACATCACACCCACAAAAGTGTTAGGGCTAAGACTTCTGTTAAAAATTATGATGGTTGAAATAAAGTTCTTAAATTTTTTCATCAAATATATTGTGGCACTAAGACTTCTAATTCATTTATACAATTTCCTTTATTTAAAGTGACATTTCACTTAGACTGATGAAAAAATAAAACAGAAAGAAAAAAAATAAAAGCAGGTTCCAAATACCCAAGAATCAAAAACATCTTTAATAATGGAGTTTAGAACTTATGTCATAACTTCCTTACTTAACTGCATGACATTTCTTGAAATATTTACTTCTCAACAGTAAGTATCTGCTAAATGAGACATACTAACTCATTATTCAGAAATGTGTTACAATGGGATTATAAAAGTATAGGCTTAATTCAGTACAATCATCTAGCTAATGAGCCTTAAAGGATTATCAAGATTATATACTGCTTTTTATTCTCAACTACATGCATCTTCACACTATTCACCCTACAGTGAAATACCTAGTATCTGTTAGTATTCTTAATGTGAATATCCTATTGGTCCCTCATACACAAAGTGTTTAACCCCAAAGGTCTCCTAGGTTGCGTATTTATTTAATGTTTATCATTATCTCATCAGGCACCCACAATGAATAATTTAGGGGCCCTCTTTGGGGTCTCTTAATCTCTTGGATAGATTTCAAGACTTACCAATTTCTGTATCATTCTATCCAATTCCATTATTTAAAAACATCAAGGAAGAGAGACCTTAGTAATCTAGGTGATTGAAAAGGAAGACCACATCATTTTCAAGGTCCAGTAGACTGTGACCTTCCTGGAGGCAAGGGCCATCTCATTCAGTACAGCACTGAGCACAACAGCAGCTGTTCTGGACTTATCTCACTGAACTGAGTTGTCAGTTTAGAATCTGACCCTATTTTCAGCTGTCTCAACGGACAGACAGTTAGGAAAAGTGCTTAAATCTTTGTCATTCTTCACTTTGCATCACCGTACCACAGAATAATAAGGCCTGGATGGAAGAGACTTTAGAAGCCATCTATTCAAAGTCCCTTTCCTCTAAAAACACAATCACACAAAACCTTTTTTATTTTGAAATAACATTAGAGCTACCTAAAAGTTGCAAAAATATACCAAGTTCCCAATGACCTTCACCTTGCTGTATAACCAGAGTACAAATATGCAATCAGGGAATCCACACTGATGTGATACTATTAGGTAATCTACAGATCTTATTTAAACGTTGCCATTTTCCTTTTTTTGGTCTGGGATCCAACCTAGGATCCCTACTAAACTTAGCTGTCAAGTCTCTTTAGTCTCCTTTAAGCTGTGACAGATTCTTCAGTTTTGTCTTTCATGAACCTTGATACTCTTGGCTAGTCCAGACCAATTATTTTGTAGAATTTTACTCAATGAGGGTTTATCTGATGTTTTCTCACTAGAATGAGGTTATACATCTTTGGCAAGAATACCAAAAAAGTGATGCCTTCTCAGTGCACGATAAAAGGGTAAGTGGTACTGATACTTTATTACTGGTAACATTAACTTTGATCACATGGCTGAAGTGTGTGTGCCAGGTTTGGCCACTGTAAAGTGAATTTTTCATTTGTAAGTAATAAATATCTTGTGGGGAGATTTTTGGAGATTATGCAAGTATCCTCTTTTACATCAAACTTCTACCTATGACAGTTAGTACCCATCAACTGTTCTTGTCTGCAATGATTATTATTGTGGTGTGTGATAAGGTTGATTTCCTATTTCTCTTATTCATTCATTAATTAGTATTCTATGCAAAAAGAGCTGTCCCTTCCACCCCATTTATTTATTAGTTCAATTATTTATTTATATCAGTATGGACTCATGGATTTTTATTTTATGAGTTATAATCCAATACTATCATTATTTACTTTGCTGCTTAAATTGAACCAGCCATTGGAAACCACGCCAAGCTGGTTCCTGTGTCCTGTGGATACACCCCCATTAATTTTTGACGTCTTCTTGGTTTCTGGCCATAAGATGGTTCAGGCTCATTTTGTATTTCTTGCATCTCATCTTTTGCATCAGACATTTCTTTGAAGAGGCCTGTTTTCTTTTGCTGAAGAATGACAGCTAGAAACCAGGATCTGGGTGGTAGGTACGCTCACTGCTTCTAGGCCCTCTCAGCAGAGAGGGCTAAGAAGTATATGTAGGTATACTACCCCTGTATATTTCTCTATCTATCCATCAGTAAATATATTAAACATCATGAATTCATACTGATACCTCTGGTTCTAATGCAACCACAGGGTGGTTTCTAGCTGCTTCTGTTCCTTATTTGTAGCCTCTTCCTATGAAGTGAGAAACCTGCACCTTCTGATGTGTTGATTTATAATCATCCCTAAAACATTACTTTGGAGTGAGTGGCCAAAATTAAGGCAAAAGAACAAAGAGAGACATAAAGGACAATCTTGTGGAAGTGTAGGTAATTATAAAAAAAAAAGACTGGTATTCATCACTAGCAATCTCATTAGGAATTGGCTTGACAAAATTTTGTCTGGAGCACACAGATGAATGAGATCACCATTCTCACTCTACAGCAGCTTTCATTTATACAAAGATATTTGTAAGCATATGATAAAATCTTCTTCATAGATGTAACTACATACTTATTGAATGTGAATCTTATTAGATATTTCTACTACACAATGTGCCCAAGAGAGAAACCTTGCAGCTGAGACACACACCGGCCCAGCTCTAGCTATATCCCAGCAACAGCATGATCTAACGACTGGTTACCCAGGAGGTAGACTAGGAAGGCTGGGAACTTGCCAAACTTTCTAGATTTTCATGTTTGATGCTCTCTGGAGTTTGATCTGGTTCACAGATTAACAGAAGACTCAGTGAAAACTGATGAGGTACAATAATATTTTGGGGCAAGTTGTTCCTCTTGCTCCCTGGTTTTGAAGGTAAGAAAATAAAGGTGCTGGCAGCTTCTCTGAGGAGCTTGAGGCCGAAGCCGTGTTAACACAGAGGAAGGGCTCACAGATTCCGCCACTTCAGGACAGCACCGCTCCCAGACTGTTCACCCACATGAGGCTGCTTAAATTGGTTTAATTTGGATTTTCTGTCATTTATAACTTAAAGCATGTCAACTGATATGTGTTCTTTAAGTAAATTACCTGGGGTAATTCTCAGTTTCTGTTCTTCCCCAGCACATCCAATCTTGTATTTCAGTGAACTTCTATAGTCTCATGACTTTAAGGATAATTTCTTAGGACAGTATACATAACCACATCTAATTTCTTAAAGAAGCGCTACTCCATGCTTCTGTCTGTAAGGAATCTGGATGTCCTTGATAACCTCTGAACTGATACTTCTGCATGCATGTATTCATCATTCAACCAACATTTACTGGTTATCTACCACATTCTGAGTATATAAAGATAAAGTGAGCAATCTGCAATTTTCTTTCACAACACAGTTATCTGTTTCCTTAGCCATCTGCTAGCCTCAAGTTCTGATATCTCATTAAGTGCTAGAGGGGAAAAAAAAAGCCAGCAACCTTTACAATATTCACTCTGTGAAGCAAGTGAACTGCTGAAAAACATGAAAACTTGCCTCTTATCAGACAAACCCTTTCCTTTTTTGCTTCTTTGTGTTTATGTGCTGTCAATTCTTTCACTCTCATCAACTATTTGAGTACCTATGTGTGTCAGCTGCTGTTCATTTTCTTTTCTTTTCCCCAACAGCTCACCCCTCACTCTATTCTTACTTTCTTTACTGCTTTTATAGGTTGCACTTGCCTATACCTCAGATCTACCAGCATTGATCATGGGCTTGTTTAAACACACAGGTGGTGCCGACGTCGACACGGGACACAGGAGTGGCACTGCCCAGAGACACTGACAGAACGCATGACAGAAGGATACGCGTGTGCCCGCCCTGTTTCTTTCGTCCCTTTCTTTTCTTCTGTGCCATGCCCCTACAAGGAAGTTAGGTGCAGTTCACT